GAAGGGCCAATCCTCGCTACACACTGCGATGGGCCCCCCTCCCATCACCCAATCCCGGGCTTGCTCTTCTGTGGGCCCCGCTCCCTAGCCAATCCTGGTCTCCTTCCGCTGCCGTGCTCCGCCCCAACTGCCAGAATTTAAGACCTGGCTCCTCCCCTACCGCGCATTAAAGGGCTACCGGCCAACAAAAATGCAGTCTCGGAGGCGGCGAAAACTGTCCTTCCGGCAGGACTAGTGCGGAGCCCCGCTGGGAGCACCCCAGGAGGGAAGTCCCAGTCTTCCCACGTGCTGGGAAACATCTCACGTGCAGACTCAGCCTCGCCAGCCCACTCACCTTGCCCTGGAGGGCTCCCCTAGAACGCGGCCCGACCCGCCTGCTGAATGGGGAAAGCGGGGCGCCTTTGAGCCTCTGCCTGGGGTTGGGGCGGGCTAGGTCCTCTGCCAACTCAAAAGACGAGGCGGGGCGCCAGCGTTGGAGGCGTGGCTGTGCCCGAGAGCCCCTAGAGGAGGGAGCCCCGCCTTCCCTCTCCAGTCTCCTGGTCCTCCTGTTGCTCTTTTTCTCGGGGACCTTTCTCCGCCCACCTCATCCCTACTCCGGAGAATGGGGAGGGAGAGGTGTCGTGTGTGTGTGGGGGGGGTCGGGTGGGGGAAGAATGCTCGGCGCCTGCGCACTAGCTTCAAGCTGCGGGCCCGCCCACGAGAGGAGGAGGAGGCAACCACGCTTGCCTAAGAAAAGGCGGGAAACAGGAGGCTCGACGCTCGCGCACGCGCACACGCACACAGCCAACTGCTTCTGGACCCCGGGAGTGGCGGCCTTGCCCGCCATGGGGGTGTGGGGAGGGCGTCCCTTGCGACTGTGCTCTGGAGTCCTGGAGAAACAGCTTTCCAGGTCCTCAGTCCCTGTCCTGCCTGCCGGCTCTGAGAAACGAGTTATCCTCTTCTCAGCTCTGGGAGACACGGGATGGACTGGCCGCCATTTCCTGCCCCCGGGACGAGGGCTTCCCAGGTGCCCGCAGCTTCAGGATTAGGGCTGCGTTGCTTTTTCCCCCCCACCTCGGGCGACTTCAACAAGTAACCTCCAGTTCCATGGATAAAACTTGCATTCCCCGCTTCTCCATGGCAGGGGTTTTGAGCTTGGAGAAGGAAGATTGGAGCTTCCTGGGGCTCCTGTGGAGCATGCAGCGGGCGGCACTGGGCCCCGGGAAGAGGCGGAGAAGGGGACGGAGCGCCTGCGGCGAGCCCAGAGCTTTGGGTCCATCACCCTCTGACGCTGCTCCTCCAGCTTTTCTGCCGTCAGTCCCTGACCTTGCCTGAGACCTTGGTGGCTCCCGCACCTCCCTCCAAGCTTCTCCTTGCTGAAAACACAACCCGCAAGGCTGTTCCGCCTGGCTGGACTGAGATCCCTACAGAGGCAGCCTGGCAGGGAGCAGGTGTCTTCCTGGCAGCAGAGGACAGACCTGGTAAACTGAGAGATGGTTGATGCCCTGAAGTTCTGCCTAGCCTGCATGGAAACTCCAAAGGGTAAGGTTCCCTGTCTCGCATTGTATTGCTGGGACTCAGCCCGTGTCTGCCCCAGAGCTGGTGCTTGGTCGGTTTCTGTGGATGGATGAATGAATCCTGGCAAGAGGGCCGCTTTCCTGGTCTCCTGGTCCCTAGCCCAGAGTGCTTTCCCACTCTGGGATTTGATTTCCCCAAATCCTCTTAGGGAGGCAGTCGGGTCCAGAGACCCCGGCTTCAAATACTGACTTTGCCACTTCCTAACTGCATGGCCCTGTGAAAGATACTTTCCTTCTTTATTTTTCTGCTTCAGTGTCCTCATTTGCAGAATGAGAATGTTGGCTGGGTGCAGGGTGGCTTATGCCTGTAATCTCAGCACTTTGGGAGGCCGAGGTGGGAGGATTGCTTGAGGCCAGGAGTTTGAGACCAACCTGGGCAGCATAAGTGAGATCACGTCTCTACAAAAAATGTAAAAAATAACCGGGCATGGTGGTGCACCTGTAGTCCCAGCTATTCGGGAGGCTGAGGTGGGAGGATGGCTTGAGCCCAGGAGTTCGAGGCTGCAGTGAGCTGTGACTGCACTCCAGCCTGGGCAACACAGTGAGACTTCGTTTTATTTTATTTTTTCCTTTTCTTCTTCTTCTTCTTCTTTTTTTTTTTTTTTCTGTTGCCCAGGCTGGAGTGCAGTGGCACAACCTTGGCAACTTCCTACTCCCAGGTTCAAGCAGTTCTCTACCTCAGCCTCCCAAGTAGCTGAAATTACAAGCACCTGCCACCATGTTCAGATAATTTTTGTATTTTTGGTAGAGAAAGAGTTTCACCATCTTGGCCAGGCTGGTCTTGAACTCCTGACCTCATGATCCACCCCCTCATCCTCCCAAAGTGCTGGGATTGGAGGCGTGAGACACTGTGCTGGACTTTTTTTTTTTTTTTTTAAATAATGGCAATGTTGATCTTTATGTCAGGATTGTTGAAGGATGACCAGAGCTAACTTGATACACTGTAAGTTTTTAGTATTTCTTAAGTAAATGAATGTCCCTGAGAGGCTTCAGTTCCTTCAGGTTCAGACTTACCTGTGTCCTGGTAGTGTCTGTGATTCCGGGCACTGGTTTTCTCATGTGGCGATGTCCCACCATATCCTGACATTGCTTTGTAACCGGATTTTCTTTTCAAGGCTAGCTTCACTCCCGGGGCCACCATTCCAGCCGTCATGGCTGAAGAATCTATGTCTGAAGATGACCCCATATCTGATTCTGACTCAGAATCTGTGACCCACTCAAAATATGCCTTCCACTCTAGGGCTGATTGCTGTATGGACAGTTCCTGCAGTTTTTTTAGAAATCCTGGCTCCGTCAAAGATCCTTGCTTGGATTTGGCTCCCTGAACTGGAGTTGTTCGCTGGGTTGTAGGGTCTGACTGTTCAGATGTCTCTTGGGATATAGATTCAGTGGGGGCAGATGGTTTCCTTTGGGCTCCAGGTTTAGTCTGGGCCGCAGGTATCGATTCAGCTTCCTGTTGAGTTGGAGTTGGCTTTCCTGGCCCGGGCCCTGGCTGGGCTACTTGTCTTTGTCTCAGTGCTGGCTCCTGCTGAGTTGTAGATTCTTTTTCTAGCCCAGGTCCCTGCTGGGAAGCAGTTTCCTGTTGAGTGAGGGGCACCCTTTTGATGTGAGGTGATTGCTGTGGTGCAGGCTTTTGTGGGGCAAGAAATTCCTCTTGCAAAGCAGATATATGTTGGGCTCTAGGTTCATTCTGGGATTTGGCATCATGTTGGGCAGGGGGCTCCTGCTGAGTGAGGGGTCTTTGCTTTGAAGCAGGCTCCTGTTGAGTATTGGATCCCTTCGGAGTCTTTGATTCTGGCTGGGCTGTGGGTGTCTCTTCTGGCCTAGGCTCGGGCAGGGTTATAGGCCTCAGGTGTGGCTCAGGTTCCCAATCTGGCCTAGATACTGACTGAGAACCTGGCTCCATTGTTATTTCCCTCACCGGAGAGGTTGATCTCCGAGGTTTCATCCTTCTGGGCTCTCACCCAGGCCTCTCTCTTCACAGATCTCTTATTGATTCCTCATGATGGCACTTCCCTTTGGGTTCCACTTCATCCTGGCATCACTAGTCTTCCTTTTTAAGGCAGCTGGCGTGGGCCGATCACAGCTGGCCCCCGCTAAGTGATGAACTCTGTTGCCTCTTTTGAGGGAGGATTAGGAATAGGAGGAGCCTATGTGCCTAGCACTCTCTTACAAGAAGGGAGGGGCTAGCTCTGTTGTGTCATAAATAGGGCCCCACCTCACTCACCACTCAGTTAAAATGTTTCTTCTCATAAGGCCAGCATCCCAATTTAGTGCTCTGGGTCATTTGGGATGATAGAAGCCAGATGCTGAATGAGTATTCCTTTTTTCTCCTTTTGATGTTTGAGGAAAGCATCATTCAGGAGGCAGTCTTTGTAGTTGTCAAAATTATTTCCTTCTTTGTTCATTCCTACAAATGGTTGCCAGTTTATTTGTTTATTTTTGAGACAGAGTCTGGCTCTGTTGCCCAGGCTGGAGTGCAGTGGTGCCAGTTTTGCTCACTGCAGCCTCTAACTCCTGGGTTTAAGCCATTCTCCTGCCTCAGCCTTCTGAGTAGCTGGGACTACAGGAATGCACTGCCATGCCAGGCTAATTTTTGTATTTTTAGTAGATACTGGGTTTTGCCATGTTGGCCAGGCTGGTCTTGAACTCCTGACCTTAAGTGATTCATGCCCCCCAACCCAAAGTGCTGTGGTTACAGGTGTGAGCTATCACACCCAGCCAGGTTGCCAGTTTAATTTTCTTATATTGTCACTCTGATAATTTAAGTCCCATGCTAAAGGCAAATGTCATGCCCTCCCATTTTTATAGCTTGAAGCCCCTCTGAATGACATTTGAGATCCTCTATGCCAGGCGTCCCCAAACTTTTTACATAGGGGGCCAGTTCACTGTCCCTCAGACTGTTGGAGGGCCGCCACATACTGTGCTACTCTTACCACCAATGAAAGAGGTGCCCCTTCCTGAAGTGCGGTGGGGGGCCGGATAAATGGCCTCAGGGGGCCGCATGTGGCCCACGGGCCGTAGTTTGGGGATGCTTGCTCTATGCCATCTCTCTAGCCTTAAACTATGGTTCTGTACTGGATTGGAAACTCACAGAATACAGTGACCACTGGTGATGATGACTGATGTTGATTGTGGTAATGGTGATGAGAGTAGTCATAAATACTGAGGGCTGCCTAAGTGCTAAGAAACTGTGCCAAGTTTTTTTTTTTTAAACCTATATTATCTTTAATAAGACCATGTCTGGTTCATTGGTATACTTTTTTTTCTTTATCCCACCTAGCTCTTATCTCAGAAAGATTTGTTAGAATGAGTAACAGATGAACAAGTAGGCCAGTGGAGAGAAGTATGTGTAGAATCTGGATTCAGTCTGCAGTGAATAGGGTAAAATGGGTCCTTTTAATGATGTGAATTGGCAGACCCCATTTGAAGGAAACGATTTTGATCTATTACGTTTTAAAAATATTTATTGACGTCTGTTTGCTGCTTTCCTGATTGTAGTTAAGATTAAATGAGACCAGCTAGGAAGCTACAGTTTCCTGGAATCTTTCAGATAATTAAGACTAAGCCTGGGTAGGGGGAGGGCACAGGATAAGAATGATGAGAGAAAAGGCATAAGAGAGAGCAATAATCAAAATGATCTTGAGAAACATGCTTTTTGAGAGCACCAGAATGATTTAGGGGGTGGGTGCAGTGGGAGAATGAGGTGGGAGAAGAAAGATGTCCTCTAGTTCTTGACTGAGAATGTTTAATTGGGAGAGTAGGCGCTCAGAGCTCCTACAAAGGCAGAGCAAAGCTTGTTAGCTGGCATTGTTTGAGAAATTGCTGGCAGGCTCTGGAATGCTTGTTTGGCTTCCTGTGGTGCCTTCGGTGTCCTACGATGCAAATAGAAGGGAGAGGCTAGTGTTAAAAACATTTTCAACATTTAATTTATTCTTTTTTTTTGAGATGAAGTCTTACTCTGTTACCTAGGCTGGGATGCAGTGGTGCGATCTCAGCTCACTGCAACTTCCGCCTCCCGGGTTCAAGTGATTCTCCTGCCTCAGCCTCCCAAGTAGCTGGGATTTCAGGCACATGCCACCACGCCTAGCTAATTGTATTTTTAGTAGAGACAAGGTTTCAGCAAGTTGGTCAGGGTGATCTGGAACTCCTGACCTCTGGTGACCCATCTGCCTTGGCCTCCCAAAGTGCTAGGATTACAGGCATGAACCACTGTGCCTGGCCTTAACATTTAATTTTTATGAGAGTTTAAAAAATTATAAAAATAAGACTCATCCAGTGGAAAAAATTTTAAAAAGTCCAGTAAAAAGTAAAAGGACTCCTCCCACCCCAGCCTCAGCAACACACTTTCCAGGGCTAACCACTGTTAATATGTTTTCTACATATTGTTCCATACTGTCTGGTATATAAATATAATGGTTTATTTTTAAAACAAAAATGAGATTATACTCGATGTATTGCCTTAGTGTGCACCTTTAACAAATCTGGCCAGGCATGGTGGCTTATGGCTGTAATCTCAGCACTTTGGGAGGCTTGAGCTCAGGAGTTCAAGACCAGCCTGAGCAACATGGAGAAACTGTGTATCTATGAAAAATACAAAAACTGGCCTGGCATGGGGCCTGGGTACCTGTGTACCTGTGGTGTACCTATGGTCCCATCTGCTGGGGAGGCTGAGGTGGGAGGAACGTTTGAGCCCAGGAGACGAGCTGTGATTGTGCCACTGCACTCCAGCCTGGGTGACAGAGCAAGACCTTGTCTCAAACCACCACCCCTAAAAAAACCCAAATCTATTATTGCAAAGTATTACATTTCTATAGAAGTTCATAGAAGCTTATACATGCAGTATAAGTTTCTATTAACAACAAATTGTTATAAAGCAGATATTTGTGAAACTACTACCTAGAGTTAGAAATAGAATATTGCGGCTGGGTGCAGTGGCTCATGCCTGTAATCCCAGCACTTTGGGAGGATGAGGCGGGTGGATCACCTGAGGTCTGGAGTTCGAGACCAGCCTGACCAACATGGAGAAACTCCGTCTCTACTAAAAATACAAAATTAGCTGGGCATAGTGGCACATGCCTATAATCCCAGCTACTCGGGAGGCTGAAGCAGGATAATTGCTTGAACCCAGGAGGTGGAGTTTGTGATGAGCCTGGATCATGCCATTGCACTCCAGCCTGGGCAACAAGAGCAAAACTCCAAAAAAAAAAGAAAAAAAAAAATTGAATACTGCCAGCATCTGTGCTTCCTCTCCTCCTCACAGAGGTAATCCTGACTTGTTTTTATAGTAATAACTTACTTTATTTTCTTTATTATTTACCATCTATGTATATACATTCCTAAATAGTTTAGTTTACTTTTGCTCATTTTTTTTTTTTTTTTTTTCCTCGAGACGGAGTTTCGCTCTTGTTACCCAGGCTGGAGTTCAATGGCGCGATCTAGGCTCACCACAACCTCCGCCTCCTGGATTCAGGCAATTCTCCTGCCTCAGCCTCCTGAGTAGCTGGGATTACAGGCACGTGCCACCATACCCAGCTAATTTTTTGTATTTTGAGTAGAGGCGGGGTTTCACCATGTTGACCAGGATGGTCTCCATCTCTTGATCTCATGATCCACCTGCCTCGGCCTCCCAAAGTGCTGGGATTACAGGCTTGAGCCACTGCGCCCAGCCCACTTTTGCTCATTTTTGAACTTTATGTATACGTTATGGTCTGAATGTTTATGTGTCTCCCAATTTTTTTTTTTTTTTTTTTTTTTTTGAGACACAGTCTCACTCTGTTTTCTGGGCTGTAGTGCAGTGGCTCACTGCAACCTCTGCCTCCTGGTTTCAAGTGATTCTCCTACCTCAGCCTCCCAAGTAGCTGGGATTACAGATGTGCATTATCCCACCCAGCTCATTTTTTTGTATTTTAAGTCGTTTCTCCATGTTGGCCAGGCTGGTCTTGAACTCCTCAACTCAGGTGATCCGCCTGCCTTGGCCTTCCAAAATATTGGGATTACAGACGTGGGCCACTGCTCCTAGCCTCTCCCAGATTTATATGTTTAAATCCTAGCCCTCATGGTGATGGTATTAGGAGGTGAGGCTTTTGGGAGGTGATTCGGTCATGGAGGCAGAGCTCTCATCAGTGGGATTAGTGCCCTTATAAAAGATGCTGAAGGAGTTTGCTGCTTCTGCCATGTGAGGTTAGAGTGTATAAAGAAGCAGGCCCTCACCGGACAATCTATTGGCACCTTGATCTTGGACGTCCCAATCTCCAGAACTGTGAGAGAGAAATTTCTATTCTTTAAAATCACTCCATCTATGGTATTTTGTTATGTTATTCTGCAAACCAAGCAGACTAAGACAGTACATAAAATCATACTATAGTGATTCACTCATGTCTTATATATTTTTTTTTACTCAATATTATGTTTGTAAGAATCATTAATTTTATTACGTTTGTTCATTCTCATGGATGTATGATGTTCAAGTACCACAGTTTATTCATTCTACCATTGATGGATGTTTGGTTAGTTTTTAGTTTGAGGCAGTTATGAGCAATGCTGCAATGAAATTCTTGTATATGTCTCTGGTAGATTGAAGCGTATATACCCTTTGAGTATATACCAGAGAGTAGAAGAGTAGAATTGCTTAGTCACAGGACTACACCTAGCTTAAACTTTAGTAAATCACTGCCAGCAATATGAGAGTTTTTTTGCTGTACTATGCCAGTGCTTCGTCTTGTTAGACTTTACATGTTTTTGATGTGTTTTGACTTTTGTCACAAACTTAAAACTTGACCATTCTGATGATTGTACAATGATATCTCACTTTTTTTTTTTTTTTTTTTTTTTTGAGACAGAATATTGCTTTGTTGCCTAGGCTGGAGTGCAGTGGTGCAATCTCAGCTCACTGCAACCTCCACCTCCTGGGTTCAAGTGATTCTCTTGCCTCAGCCTCCCTGGGATTACAGGTGTGTGTCACCATGCCTGGCTAATTTCTGTATTTTTTAGTAGAGATGGAGTTTCGCCATGTTGACCAGGCTGATCTTGAACTAGGGAGGAGTCAAATTCTGTTTGATGCTAATACTGGTATAATCATCAGAGACTAATGACCAGATCTTCAGCAGCCCCGTCTACCCCCACTTTGGTAAACAGTGAGGTTTTAAAATCTAATAATTTGGTTAAACCTTTCTAGTATCAGGAGAATTGTATCCTGCTTTTCCTGTTCTTCCTATTTCCCGGCAAGTTGACACTGAGTAGAAAGAGCTGAGTTGTGTACTTATCCTGGTCTTAATTTCATCTCTTTTTTCTATTCTCAACCCATGCTTCATCCTTAGTAATTCCACGGAGTGACTCTGATATAAGGAAAATCATTCTCTGGAAACTTACTTATTTTCTTCACATTGCCCTTGAAATGATCACAGGGACACTGCTTCTTTGGCAGCCCAGACGCTGTCATGAGTTTTCTTCTAGGGCCTCTCAGGAACCAATCTGAAACAACAGCATTGCTGCTTAGATGGGACAGTTAATATATTTAATGGGAGGGAGAAGGACAGAGCTTTACTTGGCATCTTCTGTGCCTTGCATTTCTACTGCAGTGGGTTGGGAAAAGGGGTCAATACAGAATAGTGGGGACATCCAGCTATTTGAAGCCATATTTCTGAGTTGTTTTTCCTGACCTGTTTGGCCAAGGGTTTGGTGGTAGGTTTAGAGGGTGTATCAGAACATCATGAATCCAAAGAATTAGGAACAAGGCATGGGTGTCTGCCTTCCAGTGGCTGCTTTCCCTTGGGCAAGCCATTTTGCCTCTCTGCTTTCAGCCTTGCCTGTGTGTAAAACGAGGCTGAGAATAGGATTCAGGAAGCTTTTGGAAGGCCAGGAAAAAATAAAAAGCCTTTTGGACGGTAGCCCTGCGTTCTTCAGGAAAAGGATAAGGGGCAGGGGGCAGCCTGACATTTGGCTGGCTTTCCCCTAGACCTTGGAGGAGTCCAGTTCTTGCCTTACAGGAAGAAAGCAGGCACGGGTGCTGCATGTGGCAGGCTGGTGGAGAGGGGAATGGGTGAGGTCAGCTGAGATAATATCCTCATTGGTCTCAGAGGGGCCCCAGGGAGAGAGCTGGGTTCATGGTGATGCCATTGCTATTGTTGATGCTGAGTTACTGACCTTTGCACTCACATTCTTGGCTGCCTTCCTGGAGCCACCTCCTAGAAGCCTGGCCTTGGTCCCTATGGCCTCTGGCGACCCCTGTTGGAAGGAAACAGGTCACATCCAGACACTGGAAAGGGAAGGGGCCAACAGAAGTGGTCCTCCCAGCATTGTGCTACCTAGGTCAGCACAGTACTATTTTTCCTTTTTTTTTTTTTGAGACGGAGTTTCACTCTTGTTACCCAGGCTGGAGTGCAATGGCGCGATCTCAGCTCACCGCAACCTCCGCCTCCTGGGTTCAGGCAATTCTCCTGCCTCCGCCTCCTGAGTAGCCGGGATTACAGGCACGTGCCACCATGCCCAGCTAATTTTTTTGTATTTTTAGTAGAGACGGGGTTTCACCATGTTGACCAGGATGGTCTCGATCTCTCGACCTCATGATCCACCCGCCTCGGTCTCCCAAAGTGCTGGGATTACAGGCTTGAGCCACCACGCCCGGCCTATTTTTCCATTTTTACTTCAGGAATCTAGGTGACTTCAAGAGACAAATATTTTATTTGAATTTATATTTTTGAGATGAGGTTGCCTAGGCTGGTCTTGAACTCTTGGGCTCCGGTGATCCTTCTGCTTTGGCCTCCCAGAGTGCTAGGATTACAGGTGAGAGCCATTGTGTCCAGCTGAGGGGTCTTTTTTTTTTTTTTTTTCTGTGACAGAGTCTCGCTCTGTCACCAGGCGCCAGGCTGGAGTGCAGTGGCTCGAGATCAGCTCACTGCAACCTCTGCTTCCTGGGTTCAAGCAATGCTCCTGCCTCAGCCTCCCAAGTAGCTGGGACTACAGGCGCACACCAGCATGCCCAGCTAATTTTTTTTTTTTTTTCCCAGTAGGGACGAGGTTTCACCATGTTGGCCAGGATGGTCTCGATTTCTTGACCTCGTGATCCACCTGCCTCAGCCTCCCAAAGTGCTGGGATTACAGGAATGAGCCACTGCGCCTGGCTGAGGGGTCTTTTAATGGATAAGGAATTGAGGTTAAAAATGTGGCCTCTACGTAAGCATATTAAAAAATTTAATGACTGAAAAAAGTCTAGCGTAGAGAAAAGCTTAGCTGAAGGTAGGTGGAGAGAGAATGGCTTCTAGATGGAAGAGAGGATAAAAGGTAAGGGTTTGTCAAAACCTCCCCTTTCCCTCTCCCCCTACATTAAAATCGTCATGACTTAAAAGAGTGAGAGCAAGAAGGAGATTATTCCATAAACTAAGATCTTCACTTGACCTCCAAGTTGCTGTATTTTTTTTTTTTTTTTTGAGACAGGGTCTCACTCTGTCACCCAAACTGGAGTGCAGTGGTGCAATCATGGCTCACTGCAGCCTGGACCTCCTGGCCTTAGACAATCCTCCCACCTCAGTCTTCTGGGTAGCTGAAGCTTCAGGTGTACACCAGCACTCCTGGCTAATTTTTTGTATTTTTTGTAAAGACAGGGTTTTGCCATGTTGCCCAGGCTGGTCTCGAACTCCTGGGCTTAAGCAATTCGCCTGTCTTGGCCTCCCCAAAGTGCTGTGATTATAGGCATGAGCCACCACACCCAGCCCAAAAATTTGCTGTATTTGAATCCAGAGTCCCAGTTCAGCTGTTAAATGATGGTATTTACCTTTGTGCCTCTGGAACAAATACATTCTTCCTTTGGCCTCTGAGTTTGTTTTATTTTCTGATTCTACCTTACACTTTTTTTTGTGTGTGTGTATGGAGAACAGGGTCTTGCTATATTGCCCAGGCAGGTCTTGAACTCCTGGGCTCAAGCTATCCTCCCGCCTCTGCCTCCCTAAGAGCTGAGATTATAGGCGTGAGCCACAGTGCCTGTCTCTGATTCTATCTTATCTACAATTTTTGATACTTAAAATATTCCTATGGCAGGCCTGGTGCAGTGGCTCATGCCTATAATCCCTGCACTTTGGGAGGCCAAGGCAGGCAGACCAAAAGATCAGGAAATCGAGACCATCCTGACTAACACAGTGAAACCCCATCTCTGCTAAAAATGCAAAAAATTAGCTGGGCATGGTGGCACGAGCCTGTAGTCCCAGTTATCTGGGAGGCTGAGGCAGGAGAATCGCTTGAACCCAGGAGGTGGAGGTTGCAGTGAGCCAAGATCATGCCACTGCATTCCAGCTTGACAACAGAGCAAGACTCTGTCTCAAAAAAAAAATACACACACACACACACACACACACACACACACACACACACACTCCTGTGACAATCAAGGATGATGGTTTATAGACTTGAGATTCTCAGGCGCGGTGGCTCATGCCTGTAATCCTAGCACTTTGGGAGGCTGAGGTGAGTGGACCACCTGAGGTCAGGAGTTCAAGACCAGCCTGGCCATCATGGTGAAACCCCATCTTAAAAAAAAAAAAGGGGCTGGGCGCGGTGGCTCAAGCTTGTAATCCTAGCACTTTGGGAGGCCGAGGCAGGTGGATCACGAGGTCGAGAGATCGAGACCATCCTGGTCAACATGGTGAAACCCCGTCTCTACTAAAGGTGCAAAAAATTAGCTGGGCATGGTGGCACGTGCCTGTAATCCCAGCTACTCAGGAGGCCGAGGCAGGAGAATTGCCTCAACCCAGGAGGCTGAGGTTGTGGTGAGCCGAGATCGCGCCATTGCACTCCAGCCTGGGTAATGAGCGAAACTCCATCTCAAAAAAAAAAAAAAAAAGAAAGATTCTCAAGTAAGAACTAGGCTCAGGTGATACCTCCTTTATGGGAGTTTCTGATATTTCCTGCCAGAATGAATTATGCCTTCATGTAGTTCCTCTTGTATTTGAATGCAGTTCTGTTATTGCATTGTGATGCTGTTTTTTGAAATCTTTGATGGACTGAATTGTGTCTCCCAAAATTGACATGTCGAATCCCTAAGCCCCAGTACCTCAGAATGTCTGTATTTGGAGATAGGGCCTTTAAAGATGTGATTAAAATGAGGCTGTGCTGTTATGGTGGGCCCTTCTCCAGTCTGGCTGGCATCCTTATAAGAAGAGGAGATTTGTACACACAAAGAGACCCCAGGGATACATGTGCACAGAGGAACATGTGAGGACACAGCATGAAGGCAGCTCTTATGGACTGAAAGTGTGCCCCCCTCAAATTCATATGTTGAAATCCTAATCCCCAGTGTGATAGTGTGAGGAGGTAGCCCTTTGGGAGGTATTTAGGTCATGAAGGTGGAGCCCTTATGAATGGACGTAGGCCAGGTGTGGTGGCTCTCACCTGTAATCTCAGTGCTTTGGGAGGCTGAGGCCAGGGGAGCACTTGATGGCAGTAGTTCATAGCCTGGGTAATGTGGCGAGGCCTTGTCTCTAAAAAAAAAAAAAAAAATTTTAAAAGGTACCCTAGACCCTTTAAAAAAAAAAAGACATGGTGGCTCATGCCTGTAGTCCCAGCACTTTGCAAGGCTGAGGCTGGTGAATCATTTGAGATCAGGAGTTTGAGACCAACCTGGCCAACATGGTGAAACCCCGTCTCAACTGAAAATACAAAAATGAGCGGGATGGGGTTGTGCATGCTGCCTGTAGTCCCAGCTAGTGCGGAGGCTGAGGCAGAATTGCTTGAACCTGGGAGGCAGAGGTTTCAGATAGCTGAGATCATGCATCTGCACTCCTGCTTGAGCGACAGAGCAAGTCTCTGTCTCAAAAAAAAAAAAAAAAAAAAAAAATCCCAGCACTTTGGGAGGCCGAGGCGGGTGGATCACGAGGTCAAGAGATCGAGACCATCCTGGTCAACATGGTGAAACCCCGTCTCTACTAAAAATACAAAAAATTAGCTGGGCATGGTGGCATTTGCCTGTAATCCCAGCTACTCAGGAGGCTGAGGCAGGAGAATTGCCTGAACCCAGGAGGCGGAGGTTGCGGTGAGCCGAGATCGCGCCATTGCACTCCTGCCTGGGCAACAAGAGCGAAACTCCGTCTCAAAAAAAAAAAAAAAAAAAAAAAAAAAAAAAAAAGTGAAAGAAAAAAAAGGGATCCTAGAGAGCTCTTTCAATGTCTTTCCACCTCCTGACAATATGAGAAGTCAGCTGTCTGTAACCTGGAAAAGGACCCTTGGCAGAATCCAGCTGTGCTGGCACCCTGATTTTGGACATCCAGCTTGCAGAACTGTGAGGAATAAATTTCTCTTGTTTATGCCACCCCGCCTGTGGTATTATGTTATGACAGTCCTAGCAAACTAAAATAAAATCTTTCTCCTCCACTAGATTCTGAACCATTGGTTCAGTAGTCATTCAGCTACATGGTTCCTGACACATGATAGGCATTTGGTAAATGTTTGTTCAGCAAGTGGTTGGATAAGTTGTTTAGAGAGGACCCTTAGAGATCATATGGCTTAATTCAGGTCTCCTCCTTCCCAGACTTCTGCCACACAGATGGAGGGTGTTGCGTCATTTCCCCAACGACTGCTTTTCAAATGTTCTCGTGCTGTTTTTGAGTGCTTTCAAAGTAGTTTAAGCAGGCACAGCCCCTGCCATCTAAACATTTCTAACATTTTTACTGTTGCCTGTCCTCTACTCCTAGTTCCAGAGAAAAACCATAGAATATTAGAGCCTGAAGGAAATCCTGGAGATTATTTAGTTGAATTCCTTAATTCTGAAATTTCTTTTCTTTTCAGTTTAAATGTAATTTAACTGTTGGAGAAATTTTTTTTTCTTCTCCTCAGAAAAGAAAATTTTGAGAGTACAAACAGAGAAGTTATTATCCTTACCAACCATTTGTATTTGGGCAGATTACCTGCATACATTTTTAGTTAATATAGTGATAACCATAGCATGTAAACATATTCTCTTTTTCTATTCAGAGGCATGTTGCTGTGTCATCTTCATAACACATTTTTTTTTGAGATGGAGTCTCCCTCTGTTGCCAGGCTGGAGTGCAGTGGCTCGATCTTAGCTCACTGCAACTTCCACCTTCCGGGTTCAAGTGATTCTTCTGCCTCAGCCTCCCTAGTAGCTGGGACTACAGGCCCGTACCACCACATCTAGCTAATTTTTGTATTTTTAATAGAGATGGGGTTTCACCATGTTGGCCAGGCTGGTCTTGAACTCCTGACCTCATGATCCAGCC